TGTGTGTGCACTTTCGAAACGTTAAAAGCAACAACAGAGTTGTCATCGATTAACGATCGTAATTTACAATGCATACAGTGAAAAGAGTCACATGATACTCCATTGTCATTCATTATTTAATGAATAATTCATAGATAATTATCACTAATGTTAATGATAAGAAATTATCCTTAATATTAATGATAAAAAAGAATGTCTGGTAAAAAAGTCGCGAATTCTCATTTGATACAAATTTTTGTTCGTTCGTCACTGACTGGTGAGTAACACACCGGTAGTTGGTCAACATTTATACAAAGATTATTCATCAGACAGTAATACTTTTCAAAATAATTTCATTGTCATTTCCTGACTTACTTACACTACACGTTTCGCTATGTACTCTTCAATTGCGATTCCTCAGCGAATCGTCGATCGATATTCAATCACGAAACTTGATGATCAATTACGAAACATATCACGGGTAAAATTCCCACAATAAAAAATTGTCACAAATTTCCAAATACGAATTTATTTCCATTATTTCCAAATAACATTTTTAATTTTCATCCAATGATAAAAATTACGTTCGTTTGGTTTCATCGATTTCTGGAAAATTAGACATAACAACTGGTCACAATATATAATCCAGGCATCCAAATTCCTTTAATTTCAACAAACAATAACATTCCCAATTTTCATTCACTGACAAAAACCTCGTTCGTTAGTTTCATCGATTTCTGGAAGACTTGACGTGCCAACAGGTCACAATATATAATCCAGGCATCCAAATTCTTTTAATTTCAACAACATTTTCGCCAAAATTTCGTCAATTTCTTCTCCACCGATCTGACGCGCTAACGCCGGCCAATCTGCCTGGTCTGTTTTCGCGAAATCTTCCATCTGTTCATCAAACTTGCCCATCTGCATCGCTAAGACGAAAGTGGCAATGAGTAATCCAAACAGACCCTTCTTCTTGTAATCCTCGTACAAATCTTCGTAGGAATAATCCGCCACGTTTATATCTTTCTCCTTGAGGCACTGTATCAAGGAATCGTGATACACTCTCAAAACATTATCCAACATAACTTTGTCCAAGTCTCTGGCACAGTGCATACACAGGAACATAGACAGATCCAAAATAGGCGATCCGTAGCGCATCAGCGCAAAGTCGACGAAGATGACTTTCAGCGCGTCATTCTCTTTCTTGAACAATATGTTATTCATCGTGAAGTCCCCGTGACACAGAGTGGAAAGAGGCTCCTCGATCTCGAAGAACTTCAAGACCAAGTTTTCGTAAGTGTTCGCCATTCGAGCTTGCAATTTGTCGCAGAACTCCTTGTCGTGACCTTGCCTGCGAAGATAGTCGAGGGATCTGGTCGCGGTCCCGTTTATCATTTGCTTGAAACTCGTCTCCTGGTTCCTGGCTTCTTCAATGGCGTTCACGAAATCGAAGAACTCTTTCTTGCGAGTCCTCTTCGTCGCGTACGCTGTCGCGTGGAATCGCGCGATCTCTCGGAACGCGGCCAACGTGTACTCCAGTGGCGTGTCGTATTTCCATTTGCACACGCTGTAACCACGTTCGGTGGCCACGTTTTCCAAAACGATCACCGAGTCGCGCGACGTCGGTTCCTCCGTGGCGTAGATGCAACGAGGTGCCCGATCGTAATATTGGGCGTACTTCTGGTAAAACAATACCTCGTTGTGAAATTGTTGCCTGGATCCCACCACATCTTGCAGTGTTTCCGCCGGCATTTTCTTCACCACTATGTTGGTGTACTTGGCTCTCTTCTTCGCCTCGTCGTCGTCGTCGTTCGAGACGACATTGACGAAGAATAGATTCGAAATGAAGAACGAATCGGTTGGAATGGACACCTCGTAGCGCACGTCCTC